CCAGGCCTCCCTCTGCCAACAGCAGGCCTGCTCAGTGCAGCAGCAGGAGGAGCAGGTATGGGGTTCTCAGAGGGGCTGGGGAGGCTCTTGGCATGCTCGGGGGGGGGGGCTCTTACCATATCTTCAGAGATGGCCGTGGCTGAGAGGCAGGGGCCACTGGGCAGGGAAGCCTCTGGGGCAGGGTGGGGTGAGGGTGGTGAGGGTGGGGGTAACACAGGGGTGTGAGGGATCATGGGGGGGAGGTAAAGCCTGCTCAGCTTCCATTCCAGACCCGCTGCAGGCAGTTGGGAGGCAGGAGCAGGTGGGGGCAGCCTTGCCTCCCCCCATGTGCCGGTCACCCAGGTTTCGCCACCAGCTGAAGCCCCAGCTTCCCAGAAGCAAGAGAAAAACTGTGACCTCTCTTCCCATTTCAAAAGCACTACTTTTGCAACTGTTTCATAACTTACTGGAAAGTAGTTTGATTTTTGTTATTTTTTTAACTAATACAAAATACTGTATGATACAAGGTACAAACTATCATAATTGGGCTGCCCACCCCTATCGGGTCCTTCTGGAGAACTCTCCTCCTCCTCCTCCTCCTCCTCGTCCTCTTTTCCAGAATTGCATTGATCCTTGTGTGGGGTCTTTGCCTCTTCTTCTTATTAACACAAATTCAATAAATCTACCCCATATATCCCAAAGAAATGTCTTTTTTTGTCTCCCCGTTCTTAAGTTTTAGAATACAAGTCAATTTATCATTTTCAGCAAGATTCCAAACTTTGCTTTTGCTACTCATTGAAATGCCAAGATGTAACTCATTGCATTACTTCTACCGTTTCTTTAAAGAAAGCACACCTTATAAAATGAGACAACATCTAAAATCTCTCCAGAAACTTGTGACAAGCCTTAAAACGTAATTTTAAAAAAGTAACGAGGAGCCCTTAACCATCACACCCTCGCGAAGAGTTTCCATGCGTAGGAGGTCCACCGTCTTCATTGCAGCCACCTTGTAAACCCCGAGGGAGACCTTCGGGGACCCCCCCCCGGGACCCCCGTCCTCCCCCAGCTGCAGTCAAACAGGGTAACGTCCCGAGTTGAGGAAAGCGGGCAGGATAGAAGCCCCCCCCCAATTCCTCCCTTGGCGAAGGGGGAAGGGCCCCGATCCCAGGGGATAACGGGGGGGGGGGCTTCGGCGGTTCCCTCGCTCTCTTCGGGGAGAAAGGCGGCTGGCACTCTGCACACGCTCAAGGGCGGCCTGGTACCCTCAAAGCGGAGCCCCCGCGGGCCAGCCCGGCTCCAGCCGCCAAGGGCCCCCGATTCCTC